TTAAGCCAATACGAAAACCACAAAAAGGGTGTTGTTTGGAGGAAACTACAGAAACCACAAACAGGGTCGTTTTTTAGAGGAAACTCACTCAGACATTCCCCTGTACATGCTCCAGCATGTGTGGAGGGTGCCCATCCTAATCTCCCGATCCCAGCCATCTTTGGAGGCCCCACGAATGACGAAAGCAGTATGTGGGTGCATTCTTTTGTAGGGGCCCATAAATGGTTTCGGTTGTCTCCTTTGTTTTCCTTTAGAACCATTTAAACGTAACAAGAACGCATTCTTCAACAAATGAAAAAGACAAGCCACCCACGTCGCAACAGGGAAAGGGCTGGCAAGCAGCTTTCAAAGGATGGCATACCATAACCCGGCTCATCTTTGCGAGACACATCCCGGACCATGACGATATTGGCCTAGGAACATGCTGTCAGTTCACGTGATGTCCGAAGATGAGATGGCGGATAGCGCAGACTGCAAGTCCAAGTGCAAAGCGCAGTCATGGCCGCCCTGCACATTCTTCTGGGAAGGCACGAGGGATACGGTTGGCTTCGCCTTGCTTTCATTTTGAGGCTTCGTAAGCAGACATGTGCCTCATTTCGCGCAAAGGATTGTTTGTCCCGCAAGAATGTTTTGTTTCCACTGATTGAAGCTGCACGTCAGGATCAGCTCAATTGCAGAACGGTTGAGAGAAAGGCCAGCATGCGTCTAGTATTCCAATATGTACCTAGCAGTGTCTAATACTTGTATATTATATAGGTACAGTTCGTGTAAATCCCAATGGTAACCATGCACGTGTCTAACAAATTTAGGATATGTCTGGAGTGTGCCATATCTATTCTCATTCTCCGGTATGTGAGTCACATGTTCAGCTTATGCCTAGTCGATGTTTGACACCAGGCTGGTATATGTGGTGTGAAACAGATGTAGATGTACTTTGTTGTTGTTGGTTGTGTATGTTGCAATCGGAGCTGCGCACATGCATAGCAGACTGGTTTGCATAGATGTACCTCTCAGGTACTCAAAGAGAACTAGAAGAGAAATGTTAGCTTTGGATTCATCTGGAGGACCATATCAAGGGGTGCAGCTATATACATATATATATATATATGATCCTTTTGCCATTGCAACCAGTTGGTACCCCCCTTTTGTTGGTGGTTTTTAAGGGAAACCAAGAGGAACACCGAAGCCATTTTCTTGGGGTCCACCCAACACCCAGATGGCCAGGCGAAGTCATGTCTACAAAGCAATGCCGGCTTTACTCCGCTTGCTCCCAACTGGCGCCCTGGCCGAGACTGGGACGACGACTGCCGACTGTCGGCCAATGTCTTGAGTCAGACTGATTCGATGGTAAGTTGACACGGCCATCGACCTGTCCACCAACTTGGAACCTATGAGTCATTGGGGGTCCATTTGGGTGTGGCTCAAAATTCAACAGCTGGGGTTACGCAGGTTTTAGTCTGCCCTTCGATTTGCCAGGGTTCCATTTTGGACTCCCATTTTCAAGCCACAGAGGTTCCATGTATGGAGGGTACTGGAATCTGTCAAACGGAAAGCAATGGGAGCCAAGACATCCCGCCATATGTGACACATCTCAAACCTCGGGCTGGCTGCAGCCGTTCAGCCGTATGCACCTTTTTGCTTGGGTTGGCCGATGAAGGTGGATATGGCTGTGGTTGTCAAGACCAATGGGATCCCATTTTGGGGTAGGTGCACTCAGTCTATTTTAGTGGGGATTGGGATGTTCACTGAGCGTACGGGATTTTGACCCACGGCCATATGTTGCATCGCGGTTCGTGGCTCAAGCCTCACCTTTGCTGAATGAAACGGAGCGAGCCGTCGATCTGGGGTCTGCATTCAAATTGGGACAGAGCTTGGTTCTCAACGCTTGCGTTCGAAGAAAAAGCCTTTCTTTTGGGGCTTCGCTTGTCCACGATATGTTGCCAAGGTGCGTGAGGTGGGCAGCATGGGCATTCTCTCCGGCATGCCACTTGATGTGAGGGGGCTGTTTGGTTGTTTGGTTGTTGGGCTGTTGTGTTGTTTGACTGTTGGGTTAGGCTGTTGGGCTGATGGGCTGTTGGGCTGTTGGCTGCTGGGCTGGGCTGTTGCAAATTGGCCGAAGGGCCAGCTCAAAAGGGTTTTGCTTGTGGGGTAGAAGTCGAGCTCGAGTCCCACTGCCATCCCCTGCAGGCAATGCACTCATAAAACATTACGCGTACGACACGCATGAACTCATGTCATGGCCAGTCCGTGTGGTTCTGGGTTGTCATGCGGTAGGCCACCCATGAGTGACAGTGGTATGTTGTTTCCGAGAATAGTGGTTTTTGTGTTGGTTTCCCTTTGAAACAACCAACTTTGCGGTACCTTCAAGCAAAGACAAACCCACATTGTGTCAGTCAGCGCTTTTAGGACTGCACGGATGTTAGTAGCCAAGGACTTATCGCAAGGCGTGCCGAATCGCAGACCCTGAGACCTGCTGGAGCGTCACGAAGCGTCGCTCTTTCCTGGGCGCGGGCACAGATTCGTACCCTTGCCTCTACGAGGACACAGTTCGAAAATGGGGAACCTAATTGTTGGCCTAATTTTGAGACAAGCCCGCGTGGTTAAGGTGCTGATTTTGTACTGAGCCTGGGGCTGACTGTTTAGTCGAGGGAATGTGTGTGAAGCTGATTCAAGCCCTCACACTGCTTTGTCGGCGGATGAGCGTTGCTTAGTATCTTAGTATCTTGAGTTGACACCACTTTTGTCCCATATCCATGCCGTACAAGTTTGGTTAATTGGTTGGGGTCCCTCCAATGGCGGTTTCGCTTTGGTTTAAAGGGCCCACGGAAAAATCACGTCCGAGATCTCCATTGACTCATCCATGACAGCTTGACAAGGGAAGTAGGATGTGGCGATTGTGAATGGATGCCTGCGCAGCACTTTGTTAAAGAGAGACACAGAATCACCGCCGTCATGTTGTAGACCTTTTTTTTCTGCACGCTTTTTTGTTTTATGCTATACAATGGGTGTTCCAACCCTCTAAATTTCAAGGGGATCTTCTTGTCGCAGGTGCAGTGGGGTCGAGGGGTGGGCCAGAGCCTCCGCTTCGGCAACTATCTGTTGAGCTGATTCGGGGCTAAGTCGTTGCATTGCGTCACAGAAAGACCTCATTGCTCGGGGAAGTTAAGATCAAAACTCTGAAAGCACTAGATCCAGCTGTACAGCCATCTGGGGTTTGCCCGATGGATGAGCGTGTTTTTGCCGGCCCGATGTTCCGACCCAAGAAAACCGGCCAGGACCTGCTGCAGCAGTGTGACCATAAACTGATGCTGGGCGGCTTCGGGGTGGCTGGCTGTGGGAAGTGCCAGTACGCTCCGGCGCCTCGGTTTCGGGAGGACTCGACTCAAAGGCGGTAAGCCTTGGGTAGGCTGGTGGAATCACGGGGGGGTTGCTCAAATTAGATTTAGCGCCGAAAAATACTGAATGCCGAATTCAAACGCCAGCGAAAATTCGGAAACCCTCATGTTAATCATTCGCTAGCTGAAAGCTAAATGTCTCACTTCTGATGATTTGGGGGGCGGGGTTTGAAAGGGTGCTGGTGTCTCGAGGGAAACCAAGCCTGAGGACATCCACATAACACGCCCACGGGTCAGTGCAAACTGCATCGCCTCGTCTATGCTGATACTTGTTCCTTTATCGCATGGTGTCCGTTGGCCAAAAGCGAAGAGAAGAAAAGAAGCAAACGGCCGTGTTCTTTCCACAAGTTGAGTAAGATGGAGGCTTTGCAAGCTCGAGGTCAGTTTTGCTCCAACAATTGGCCTATGCAGTGGTGCTAATTTCCCTCCATGCTGCTCCAGCTCTTTTGGAGCCATCTCCGTCGGCCCGCTAACCTCGTTCTGCAAAACGAACACCCAAGCAGAGATGTGGCTGTGGGTCAAAAGCAATATGGTACCATTTGGGGGTAGCTGCACCACCCATTTTAGTCCATTTTAGTGGGGATTGGGAGTTCACTGAGGGTACGGGATTTTAACCCATGACCATGTGGGCTTGCATCTGAATAGGGGAAGGGGTGGTTTGCTGCTGGTTTCCTTTTAAACCACCCCAGAAAGACGCACCGATGAGTTTGGGGACAAAGCCGCATGGGGAGGCATGTCCAACCCTTGGATTCCAGTCATGCACCATGGGCCATTCGGTATCCGCCAAACCAAATCAGCGCCACAATTCGTAGATACTGCGAGGAAAAATGGTAAAACATGCCTTGCAATGAAGGTATCTCAGGGATAGATGAGGCTTACCTAAAGCTTTAAGAGGGATCCCTCTTGTCATTTATTCCGCAATTGATCTCTGAGGTGCAAGGACGCAACATTCTCTCCTACAATGGCAAGTGCCTGACGTACGCAAATGACAAAAATGTGTGCCTCAGCTGGTACCGCTCGGAGGGCTTAGGCGGGCCTAGCGAATTTCATGTCAAAGCAAGCTGCTTGAACCTGTCACTTCTCAAATATTTGCGTGCGTGGGTGTGCGTGTGCGCGCGTGCATGTGGGCGAGGGTGTGGGTGTATACATCATCAATGTCTAGAGTATATGTATGTTATACAAGTACGTACTGCGTAGTATGTGTGTATATATATATATACAGCACCGACAAGTATTTGTGACATGTGGTGATTGCAAGCAACTCATTGGATTCGCCTTTTTCGCTGCAGAGTGCTGATTTGTGCTTTCAGGTACGCAACCACCTGCTCAACGAACAAGAATCAGAAGTGGTTCTTTGAGGGGGAAGCCATCAAGACTGACGTGAATGATGACTGCCTGGACTACAACCCCAGCACTGGCAACGCTTCTTGTTGCGCAAGCAAAGGTTTCTTCTAATTAATGTGCAAGGTTGTCCGTTTATGCATTGGACACATGTGTTTTAGTTCCTTGGTTTCCCAAGCATATTATGATCAGGATGTGCCAACTCAGGTCTACATGCACTCTTGCCACGGAAGTAACAACCAGCTGTGGTACTTTGAGGCAGGGTCTGACAACATGTAAACATGATGCGTTCCGAAAACGGATACTTGTCCTACCGTTGAACCCCTCCAGATGTTTTGCGTCGTGTAGATTTACCAGGACACCCCATGAATGCTAGTGACATCGAACATACTGTGGATGGACGCAATCTTGCACCAACTAAGAAACTATGTTGGTCAGACCATTCCAGGGCTTCTTGGGTGGTGCAGGATTTCGTCCATCCACAGTAGCTCCAAGGCAAGCCAAAGCATGGTGTTCTGACTTGCACCTTGCATCACCCTTGATCCTGGCTGGATGCGGGAAACGAGTCGCATCCAACGGACCAATAGCTTGGTGTGTTTGTGCTCGTCTGGCAAATGCTGACCTTTGAGCATGAAAGCCGTTTCCTTGAGATTCATGTTTTTATGTTCCGCAAGGTTTAGTGGAAAAATCGCCAAAACACGGACTCTTTTCTGAATACTTTCAACAATTTGGACCGCGCAAGATTTGGACGCAAAGCCTCAGGGCGCCCACCTGAAGTCGCGGCATGACGGCAAATGCCTCGACTTGACTCATGGCAATGGCAACGCCTTCGTGGGGAACCTCGGTGATGCTTCGATTCGAGTTGTCGGCCAGTCGACAAACGCGTCGATGGCTCCGCGCACCGGGGAAGCTTGCAGGTTTGCTTGTGTTTGTTGCGCATGTGTGGCTCTGTTGTGTTTGTGATTGTGTGTGTATGGTTATATATATATATATATGTATATACATAGAGTGTGAATGTGAGGGTGTGGACGGGATGTTTGCCTCTGTGTGCACATGTGTGTGGGCGCGTGTGCGTTTGTTTGTGAGTCGATATCTCAGTGTTTGTGCCTTAGCACGTGTGATCGGCCTCACTTCATTTTGTCCTTGGGTCTCTTGGAGATCGTGCGTGTGTGTGTCTGTGTGTGTGTCTTTGTGTTTGTGTGTTTGTGTGTGTGTGTGTGTTTGTGTGTTTGTGTGTGTTTTTGTTTTGGCTTGTTAGTTTACAGACATTCGTGTATGCATACATCTACCTATAGGAGTGTTTGTACATTTGCCTGTTAGCGTTTTGTTTGCTGTGTGTGTGCCTCGAATCGGCCAAAGTCGAAGGGCTAGCCGGGAGTCCAGAGGAACTGCCCGGGCAGCAACACCATGCACTGGGCCTGGAAGCAGGAGTGTCCGAGAGGTTTCTCCCATGTGGAAGTCCGGAGATCGTGGGATGTTCGAGATCCCACATTTGCAGAGCTCATGCACGTGTGATATAAACAAAGGCCTGCTTTTTGCTTAGTTTGGTTGGAAATAGATGGGCCTATTGATACAAGTGTTTGTATGGCTGCATGGCTTTTTGGGCGCATGTTTTAGAGATGTTTCTGAGGCCTGTACAGACAAGCCCAGCTCAATGGTGCCCATTGCCGCTTTCAATTTGGCACGAGTGGTCAACCATGTCAAATCCAAAGCGGGTTCCAAGCTGGTGTTCTACTGGGCAACTAGGACACGTATTTGTTGAAGCCCGGATGGCTTCCGATGTTTTCTGTGCGACGCAAAAAACAAGGCGGCGAATCCTCAGCAACATCAGCATGAGCCATCCGTCAGGGTACTGTCGCGTTTTCGCTTTCAGCATAGCTCATGTGAGCTCGGTCCCTCGCTCGGTCCTTCCATGCGGTGTGTGCCGCAAAGTCCGAGACGCGGTTCATTCGCGCCGGGTGATTAGACGCGAATGTTTTTCGCTAGCCTTGCAGCAGCAGCAGCAGGAGCAGTAGCTTTTTAACATTCCAACATATTCCATCCAGCCAAGGTTTCATGGTGTCCTCCGTGGATTGTATTTGTGTTGATGGTACCCCCTTTTTGTTCTTTTCAAGGACAACCAAGGGGAAAACCACTTTGCAGGTCCAACCTGAAAAAACAAACACGCCTGTTGGATTGCGAGCCTCAGTGAGGTGGCGCCTTTTGGGCTTGGGCATCGGGTGGCTGTGGTCTCATTCGGGAAGCAAAGGCCCCAGTCTTTCGGTTCGATTCGGAGTTTGTCCATTGGAACAGTTGTTGTAAAGAAATGTATTGGGGTTTTGGGCGGTTTTAAGCACCAGCATTGGGTTGGTGTAAAGTCCGGCTCGCCAAGAGACTCATTGTGGGTATATCTGTTTCTGGTGTTGCCGTCCGCCCGCAACTGCCGGAGAAGTTAACGTCTCTTGGCGTTGGGATTCTGAGGTGCACTTGCTGGCTTCAGCTAAACCGCAAAAGCCAAAGGCAGTCAATTTCGCGTGTAGTTCACCGTTTGCACCTCTGACCACCAGACAGGGAGGCTTGCTCGATTTTTGGGAACACCCAACCTGTGCCAAAGCGCTGATGACTTTGGCATAAAGAACGTCGGCCAACCGGTAAGAAAGGGATTGTAGACAACCATCGTAAGGCTTTGTATTGAGGATGACTCAGGCGTCTTGACCACGGCTTTGGTGTTTCGCCTTCATACTCATCATCCAATTAGGGAATGTTCGCAGGGACTACTCCTCATGCCATACGAACTGCGGCGCAGGATATGCATGATGGCCAGAAGCTGATTAGCGACAACGGCCTCTGCCTCAAGCACGAATCCGAAGCTTAGACAAACAGCATGCCAAGCTTGCGCATGCCAACTGAGATGTTGACTTGGTGCCACTGAGATGTAATCACTTGTCCACATGACCTGCATGACACCCAGCGGTGCGTCTTAAAATCGAGCAGCCCTAAAACGGCTTCGCTTGCCCGTTCGCAAAATTCCATCCAAAAGAACGGACCGGAACTGCTCGCTTGATGGGCCTAGGACAACACCTTCAAGGCCACCGGCTGCAGCAAGGCCTTTGCCCATCGCTTCTACTTTGTGGGCGCTGCTCGGAAAAATCAGTCAACAGGGCTCAGTGCCTGAGCGCAGAGTGCCAATTTTATTTGAGCTAGGATTTGTTTTTTTTGGTTTGGGTATCATTGTGTTGTCTTCCCTGGTCGCTCTTTCTCTCTCTCTCCCTCTCTTTATCTCTCTTTCTTTCTTTCTCTGTCTCTCTCGCTCTCTCGCTCGGTACCCTTTTTAAGGGGACTGCCCCCGGGGACATAGCGCGGCCATCTGACCCGTAAGGCGATCGACCGAGCAAAGCCATCCCCGTGGTGTCGGGAATCCCCGCCGGTTCATTCCCAAAGGCTTCGGAGTGATTCCCCAAGTTCTCATCGACCGAGCCCTCCAAATGGGAGGGGCTCAGTTGAGCCAGTTGTCCATATGTTGAAGCCCATTTAGTAAGAATTGAATTCATCTTGCTTGCTGAGCTCTAGGCAAGCGTTGGGTTGCAAGCATGCCAATCGGGCGCTGGCCCGTTCTAGTTGTAATTAGAACCGAACGATACCGAATTCATCCAAGATTCGGCTGGACACGAAGCAGGGCAGATTTAGATGCCGGAAGCTCATTCCCGCGAACTGGCGCACTGCCTGTGCAAGTCGCAAGAGCTCAATGATTCTCCATGACCGTTTTCGGGCGGTTGCAGGCATATGTGACCTATTGCAACCAACATGTACCAATGGGTCCAGGTTTTGTGAGGCTTTCTGGAACCAATTTGAAGGCAAGAGCTGGCCGCTCGAAGTTTCGAGCGCAGTGAAGCAGCCACTAGTCCCATACCCATGATTCCAATCTACACCAAGACTAAGGCCAAGACCAAGGTAACCACTCTTTGAAGACTGAAACAAGTACGGCTGGTTTAATGTGGTAACTGGTATAGGCATGGATTGCGCGTGCCGGATGTGATCTCGGATCGAGGAGTTGCTCAAATCAGAGAAGGACTCCTCGATGTGTGTGGAGCACGTCTCCTCAACGGGGGAAGTGAGGGCGATGCTTAGCTGAAGGCATGGTTTCAATTGTTGATGTGTGTGTGGCCCTGTGGATTTCACCAGTTGCTTTCCTTGCTTGGTCACATGCTTTTGATACGCCCTCCCCCCCCCCCGCCCCCCACCAAACCGTACCTGGGACTGTGAGTCACATAATATGACATCAACTGAACGTCCGCACCGAGATTCATATGACATCAACAGAGCGTCCGCACCGAGATGCCAATTGCGTTCGATGACTGCTTTGTGTGTGTGTGTGTGTGTGTGTGTGTGTGTGTGTGTGTGTGTGTGTGTGTGTGTGTGTGTGTGTGTGTGTGTGTGTGTGTGTGTGTGTGTGTGTGTGTGTGTGTGTGTGTGTGTGTGTGTGTGTGTGTGTGTGTGTGTGTGTGTGTGTGTGTGTGTGTGTGTGTGTGTGTGTGTGTGTGTGTGTGTGTATGTGTGTGTGTGTGTGGGTGTGTGTTTGTTACAGTCCATGTTTAGCATGCTCCAGAAGATTGATCTCGGGTATGTTAGCTGGGTCACATCGCAGGGATGGTCACATTGGCGGGTGTTGTCCCTCGCTGCGGCTGAAGCTGTTTGTCGATTCCCGGAAGCCTTGTCCAAAGCATGCTCCAGAAGATTGATCTCGGGTATGTTAGCTGGGTCACATCGCAGGGATGGTCACATTGGCGGGTGTTGTCCCTCGCTGCGGCTGAAGCTGTTTGTCGATTCCCGGAAGCCTTGTCCAAAGCCTTGCACTGTCTAGCTATCTCAGAAGCAGTGGCCGCACTGGCATCTCCTGCTTAACGTGGTGCATGGAATCGCACGGCGGTTTCTGGAAGCGATGTGCTTTGCCTCTGACTGAGGTCTACGTGCCAGAGCGGGAACAACTTCAAGTGGTACTGGGACGGAAATTTTGTGAAGTCCAGGCGCGTCAGATCGCATCGGCCATCTCAGAAGCCTAACTTGTTTTTCATGTTTCGGGTTGGAAATCTGACCAAAAAGCCCTGTGTGGCAATCTGCGGACACACGGCTCGAAAGTCCAAAGAGCGGCTACCCATTGCAGGGTTACCCTGGCTGTGTTGACAAGATATACGGGTGATGTGCACGCTAATCGAAGACTAGCCTTGCCTATGAGAAACACTCCTAGCTTTGTGAGACAGCCTTGTTTCACAGCTTGGTTTCCCAGCTTGGTTTCCCAGCTTTGCTTCCCAGCTTTGCATCTCAGCTTTGCTTCTCAGCTTTCCTTCTCAATTTTGCTCCCCAGATGTGCTTCCCAGCTTTGCTTCCCAGCTTAGCAAAGCCCAGTTTTGCTTCCCAGCGTTGGCGTTGCTTCCGAGCTCAGGCTCGGCTCGGCTTTGCTGACCTCTCAAGCTTTTTTTCCAAGACAGCAAGCAGTGCAGCTGACGGCTTCTTCCCCGCATCCAGTTTGCATAAGTCTCTCTTTATCGCAGGCGGGCCACTGATGCCCCGTCTCAATCTGGTTTAAATCTATTATCAACTGGTAGTGAACAGCGCAGGCAGGGCAGAAGTTAAGCCACGGGTGGTACCATTTTGGAGTAGGTGCACCACCCATTTTGGAACCTATTTTAGTGGAGATGGGGATGTTCACCGGGGGTACGATTTGGATGTTGACCCATGGCCATATGAATATAAACAACACCAACCATTTGCGAGTCAATGTCCTAGCTTTGAGGCAAGCCCAGGGTCTGCTTTTTCGCAGGACAGACGGCCGGTGCCTGGACTTCCTCACTCACTCGGGTCTGGCGCGGGTGGGCAGCTGTCCAAACAGCAACACTCAGAATCTGGGCCAGAAGTCATTAGCCCTTGACGAATAGGGTCCCATTTCGGAGTGGATCATTCACTTTTGGATAGAACAGCCCCCCCAAAGCTTGACTAGAAATCTTGGGTCCAGTGACGCTACATTGCTTGGTCAGGATAACACGCCTTTTGTCATATAGCGGGTGCCTTGGTTGCTCCAGGAACACCAACACCAGGACAGCCTTTGCTATTACCAGAAATTCAAAGTAATTTTGCGCAGTTCCATTGGTGGTCGCTGAGTCACTCACAGTGCTGGCACCAAGTTTTACTCCGCGAGCTGCGGCCATTTTGCACTGTTTGTTTCTCCTTGTTTGTTCGCGCGTTTCCTGAACAGTCGCATGCTCTATGGCTGTTTGGCTTCAGCAGTTGGCCTTCCGCAGGAAGGTCTTCATGCCTACAGGCACCGTCTAGTAGCACACATCTTCGTCGCGATATTTCGTCGCTGCAACTTGCGCAACTGTTTTCCTGCCAACTCAGATTCTCACCTTGCCAGATCAGCTCGCCAATTTGGCACTGGGTCAAATTGACGACCCTTTGACAGTTCTATTTCGATCCGCTGGTTTTCACGAGGAAAGCAGCGTTGCCGTGCTTGTGACGTCGCGGGCTGTGTCCAGCTCTACTTGCTCCTGTTCGCCTACATTGCTTTCCGATGGTTTCGCCCCGAGCCTCACACCGCCTGAGCTGGGCTTCGGGGGAGAGGACCCCCAAGAGGCGCACACCACGAAAGCCGGCCATGGCCGAAATCTGCAGGCCAGCCGCGCTTGATGCTGGTGAACCTCAACTGCGTCGGCCGGAGCTTCATGGTGCCATGGTGCCACGCAGTCCCATGGTGCAACAGAAAGACCATTGCTGGTGACGCCGCCATCTCTGACATCATTCTCTCTGAGACTCTGAGTCCTTGCTTCCTGCTGTTTGGTTTAAGGCAATGATGCCCCTCCTGAGCAGGAAAGTCTTGAATGCGCGCGCAGCGCCACGCAGCTTCGAGTTACTTTTCAGAATAGGCCAACTCTAAACCAATACTAGACGGTCGGATTTCTCTCCCAGGCCAGCCCCAGCCTTATGAGGGGTAGTCCATCACATTTTCACACCGTTGACATTCATATGCACGTGTTCCCAATTTAAGTGTCTGTCGTTTAATTTAATTCCAACGTTAAGTTGCGCCTTGTACTGTTGAACCGCAAAAGCAACAAACAACCTTGAAAGGAGTTTTGTTAAAGAGTCTTTCCCTTTCAAAGTTTATTCTATGACCCAGTTGACAAGTTCAACTTTAAGGCATTTTTCAAGGGATGAATACATTTGCTTGTGGGGGAGCCCCAAATTTCCCTACACAATATTTGTCATTCGGGGGGACGTACTTATTTTCAGAGGGAAGCGACTATTCCCTAGCCTACACCATGTCAACTTCTGCACACAACTTGTCAGAAAGTGCAAACTTGGGGCAGCCACTTACCACACAATGTTCTATCTGTACCTTTTTTTGTTGTTTAACAAAAAAAGAAACAAACACTGTTTTGCCCGTTTTGTGTCAGTTTCCCTTTATGGGGGTGATGTTTTGAGGGGAAGAGGGAGCCCTGTACCATTCAACCCTCACTGCCATTTGCTTCAGAATATCTTAATATGCTCACTTGTTGGATTTAAAGGAAATCTATCACTTCTGGAAAAACAGGGGGCGGAAAAGCAAATGGAAGCTCAGTCCTTTGCCTTGAAACTCTAGCTGCTCCCAGGAGGTGGAACCAGCACAGCGTGTCCAAAGCTCTGCCGGCGGCGAAGTTGACGTCGATGCACAGCGCTGGCCATTGCTTCACGTCCGCAGGGGACCGATCGACCGGGGGAAAGAGGGGGCCGCACGCGTGACTCGTGGTGCATTTTGGGCAATCTGTCTGCAGCAAAGTTGTTGTTTCCTTTGAGAATCAGCTGCAAGGGTTGCTTTGGACAGGGCCAGGCGCCTGGCCATTTCAAGTGACCCACTGCTCTTGTTTGGGATTGCCTCACATTCGCCGTGCCAGGTACCCAACTTGAAACAGACAGGAAATCCTTCTGCAGACAACGCAGAAGGGACTGAGGACTTCCATGAAACTTCTCCTCGGCCGTTTTTTTTGTCAGCCAGGAACCCCGGATTCAAAGGTCCTTGGTTGAGAAAAAGGCTCAAGCCTTTCTGTCGTTTAGTAGCCATCACAGGGCTAGCGAGAAAGGCAGGGCTGAGTGTTCCACGAGAGATAGGACACAATTGCTTACAATGAGGGAGATAACCACGGTGTCCACCGACTCCTTCTTCACAGAGATAGGATGTTTCCCCTTGGAAAGAGATCCATAGGGCGTCTGCGTGTACTGTTATTGCTCCAAAACCCTCTGCCCCTAGCATCGCTCCACAACGGGCACCAGGAGTCGTAGACCCTCCCGGTTTTAGCAACTTGTAGACTGAAGGCAGTCCGGGAGATTCACTGCCATGACCGATAGGACGCACAAGATCGCAGAGGCGTGTTTGTCCATTCAATGTTTCGCCGAAGGAGACATCTACAACGGTCTGTGCCGCAGAGGAATCAAACACGTTGCAAACGCAAGCGCGGGAAACAAAGGAAACACGCAGGCACAAGGGCAACCGCAGAGAGACAGATAGACAGACAGAGACAGAGACGCGCAGACACACTTGGACACTGGCACCCCGGCGCACCACGATCACGCACACCCGCAAGCGCCACACACACTTAAAACATACACCAACAAACAAACGTACACAATCACAACTGCGGACACGCATAGACGCGCGTCTCCTCAAGCAATTGCATTTGTTTTCCTCTGCCAAAGAGGGTCTTGGCTGCCCCATTTCCGGCCGGCGTGTACAAGCAAAGCAAGGGCGGCAGAGCAAAACTCGCACCAGCAAGCATTGCGCGTCTCACGAAGAAATCCTGCCCAACCCACTCGCCTGAAGCCCAGTTGTGTGTTCGGCGCCATTACGCGTAATAAAGCAGTGCTTGTGGGCATCACTGACATTATATATGGCTTCTTCGTATGTTCAGACCTCGACTCAAGTTTGTCCTGAACTTTCCGTCCGCGCACCCGGTGCGTTCCGCCCAACGTCCAAGTGTCGCACAAGCCGAGAATTGTATGCTTTTGGGCTTTGCTGAGGCTGGGACTGGCATCCGGAGACCAATGATGTGTATATGCATGGCCGCGGGCTTAGTGCATTGGCAGCCCGGTGATCGCGTTGTCGATGTATAATTGTGGTACAGTTACACTTAGCATTGTCATGGCTGCGTGCTTGCATAAGAAGGCAGCTTGGGAAGCGTACCGTGTCACGCCTCAAAGGACATTAGACAGAAACCAGATGAAACGGAGTTTGCCGGCCCACAGTGCTTGGCATGTAGAAGTGCTTTGGCGCAGTGTGAAAGTACTGCTGGAAAAGAACCTTAATTGAAAAGCTTGAGCCAGTTCATGTCATATTATATGGGTAGGCATTTGAATTGGCAACGCCTCAAACATGGTGTGGACACCAGTCCCCACCTAAATGGCAGGGGAGGCAATCTAGACAACGCCAGCGACAGACAACCGTGCAACAAGTCGGGCATCCCTTGTGCTAGCCGCACAAATGCGTTCAGGCATGTTTTCAGAGGTCCAGCCTGCGATGGTTGGACGCCCAGAGGAAAACTATTCATTTCCACTCTTGCCGTTTCCGCTTGACATGACTTATGCAAGCTTGCAAGCCTCGCTCGGTTGTATTCACGGCGCCGTGTTGCCTTCCTTAACTTATTCTGAGTGGCCGTGTGGTATTTGTGCACTTCTCCGGGGCAATACCCCATGTTCCGAACGAGTTTTCTCGCAAGATTCGAGCGCCTTTTTGCTCGCAGATATCTGCCATGGCAGCAACCACCAGAAGTGGTACTTGGACGGAGAGTCAATTAAGCAGCTTGGCAGTTCCGCCCAAAAAGGGGGTTCCATCAACCCGATTTTTGCCTCGTATAATTTTGAGGTATAGTTGTGGGCCCAAGTGTTTTTCTCCGCAAGAACGATCAATAGTCCCAAAGTTCTATAGAAAAGGGCATGGGGCACACTCCCCCATCAGGAAATGGTTGCTCGCCGAATGTTCAGCTGTTGCCTTTGCAAACACTACCCCATGACCATATCAGTGGCACACAGAGGCATTCCGCATCAAGAAAACCACGGTTTGGTCTGAATGGTGCTTGCCTTGCAGGGAAGCTTCCCAGCTAGAGGCAGGTCCACGACCCCAAAGACGCTTCACTCAACATTTAGAGGGCTCATTGATTTGCATGCCTGGGGTTAGATTCACAAGTTACAGGCTGTGTTCAAATATCATATATGTATGTGGATAGATAAGGGCTTCCAATAAACAAAGGTTTCTGGCGCGTTGTGT